AACTTCATTCAAGTAATGTGGAAGCCACCTTTTGTGAGAGGATTTATTTTGGCATGTGTGATGTATAAATATTTTATCAGTAATTGCAACTCAACGTAACTGACTTAAAAGATTTTGGAGGAGGAAAAAAGAAGTTCTATTTCACCAGTTCACGTCTTTGACTCACGTGTCTTTTATTCATTTTCTTTCTTTTCTTTCCCATCTCCAAAAGGGTGGATCGAAGATCAAGAAACGGTAGGAAGACGGCAGAATGTTAATGATTGGAGTGAGACATATGGTTGCTTGTGTATCTTGTCCAAATGGCAGTCACTTTTTTTTATTCATCCCAACTGTACAATGATCTTATTTTGTACCTGAAATCTTTTTTGAAAATTACATTCCACATTCTATTTTAAGTTATTGCTCTATTTGCGCTTATGTTTCCTCTGTCTGTTCTTTGCGCTTATTTTGTACAGAACAGTGTCAATCTTGTGAAAACAGTATTTTGGAATGTGCAATATAAATAACAGTATTACTGCTGTATGAAAGAAAAATTGGTTAACATTTGACACAGAGCTAGCCTGAAGAAAATGAGTCTGCGATGCGAAGTGACAACCGTATTATCCGTACGCAAAGAAATACTGTAGCACATATGCAGGGACAGCGGTAACCCAATATCTGCTCGCAATTCCACCGGTCGCGCTCACAAGAGGGGTCAAAGGGTATTTGGCAAACTTTACAGTCATGCCACATGCCATATGGTCCTCAAACAGAAAGTGTACCAAACAGTAGATTTCAACTGCAACAAAGGCAGTCATTTCAAACAAAAGAAAGTAGCAAAAAAAAAAACCTGAACAAAGGCTGGCGACAAAACAAGTACACGGCCACATTAGCTACCCCGTTAATATTACAGGTTATTGACTCGCAGCGAAGTGTAACGACGGCTACCCGGAAAAGAAGATTCCTCTAGGGATGCATTAGACTGGGAAATTAATGAGTACTACTGTGGCACGACGGGTTGGTTGAACACTAATACAGAAATGCCTTAGACCAGTGGCTTTCCAACTGGTTCCTGGGGGCCCACTGTGCTCATTTCAGTTTCAGCCAATCTCTCCACCAATTAAAGCCATGGAAAAAGGTGTTTTAGGCTCCCAGATAATTTACTTTCACTTTTTCCTATAAAATCCATGTTCTGCTCATTTGCTCTGTGAATGCTTCATTTTCCTCAAAATAGCTGCATTTCTGCGGGGCACATGTTCAGCAATTAGGACCCCGCTGATTCTACCTACCAGTCCCCAAAAATGAAATCTCTACCTGAAGCAATAATTTGCAATACAGCACATTACAGAAAATTAAAGCATTACTGTAGGTGAGTCGACTGATTAAAAGTCCCCGAGATGTGAGTTTGGATCGTTCGTTCTCCCTAGTATGCATAGCCATCTCCGATAATGATGCCACCGTAAGAGGGTAAATCATACTTCAGCAGACCGTAAGTGTCAAAACAGGAGGAACGCATGGCTCTTTACAATGTGCAGGATGCAATTAATTCCAGCAGGGATGAAAAGCAGCCTGCACAATCGGCCCGAGGATCGAATCTGAAAGCCCCCTGTCAAGACCAATGGTGCAGAGCTGCAGGTCCTCTGGGCATTTGTGGTTTTCCTGAAATCAGCAGGCCAGGAAAATGAGACTCTTGAGGACTTGTGTGGCATAATGACTTAAAGGATCCCCCTTAAGTGCAGAAACACTAAAGAAAATGAACAGCAGCACACATCCGCCTTCCAGCAGCAGCTCATTGCTGCCAGTGAAGTCTAGCTTTTTTTCTTTTCTGGCAGAATTCTAAGCCATGTTCTAGAACTCCCATTGCTTTCAACTACCATCAGGAGCGATTGTTGCATCACTGTAAGACTGTTCAGTAGGGAACATTCTCATCGCATATCTGTGATCTCACACCTTGAAGGGACAAGCAGAGCATTCCCCACATTAGTTGAAAACTGAACTCTGGAAAAAATATAAAATAAAACATCTGGCCACTGAGTGTTGTTGCTTCAAGGCAAGAGGTTTTGCAGTGACAAATCCAGCCTGATGCCTTTCCATGTGGAGGTTTCGTGATCTTCCTGTGACATGCATGCCAGGCAAATTCTTAACTGCCCAAAGATCTTAAGTGAGCAAGTGAAAGGTGCGCGATAATGGACTGTATAAAACAATGGACACAATCTCCGTGACGTCACCCATAGGTTTCTGAAGAGCCATTATGAAGCTCAGTGGGAGGCACCGCATAAAACCCAGCTAATCCAAAAATAGGTAAAGAGGTGGAGAGTTGGTGGAGCTGACACAGGCTGAAAGGAGACTGATTGCTGGAACACACCCACCTAGCTCAAAGCTGCCAAGCTAACAATGGCTAACAAGCTAGACAAAGAAGCTAGGCTATATCTGCCTTGGGGAAGCAGCTGAGGGACAAAGCCTTCTAGCAGCGCGCGGTGCGTGGGCCAAACGTTCTTCCTGGTCGGGAAGTGGTGGCAGCTGGCTCATTCATATTATTCCCCACCTCACTACCAAAAGGAGATGATAAGCCTCCATTCCTAACACTGGAACAACTCATATGTCTGTCTGTCTTCAATGTCGGCGACACTAAGAGTCACAAACAATATCACAGCACGCAACGCCAAGAAGATGCACACAAAGTGTGTGGCTTGGCTGGGTACATGTCCCGTGGCATCTACCAAATACCACTACCCAGAGTGAGCAAACAAAGTCACATTAATGTTAGTCTGGCCAGTTTAATGTTAACATTGAATAATGTTTGCTAACCAAAGTGGTGGACCTTAATTTTCCAACTTTACACAGACACCTTTTGTTGAGAGGTATTACCACCCTAAATTTTTGCACTTCTCTGTTGCATTTTGACTTCAGTGGATGCTGGTTTAATAACCGTGGCTAGCACACGCTCCCATTAGCACAAGCGAGCATCTTGCGCAAAGACTAAACCAAGCCCAATTTGAAAGCTGGCTCTTTAACTAGTTAGCAAGCTAAGCTAACAAGCCTCATTTGATGAGCACCAACGCCGAAACCTACCAATTTGTGCAAGAGCCAGCCACACATGGCCCGTGATGCCATGCAATGGAATGTTGGTGACCCATTCAATTGCTTGTTCAGACACAGGATGGGACGGATTCTTTTTAATGTTAACATTATCTTTTCTCTCACCTGACGAATCAATAACCATGGCTATTTCAGACCTCCAAGTTCTCTCTTTGTTACTGTTAGCCCTGTACCACTCCTCTTGCGAGTTGTATAATTCACTCTGGAACTCAACTCTGGACCTGATTTTCAATTTTTCAACATTCTCTATACATTAGTTGATTAAAATGAGTGTTAGCAACTGGACTAGGGTGGAAAATGACTGTTTGGTCATAAAGGCATAATTCTCTGATCTAAAAAAAAATTTTTTAATCATATTTCTGGTGTTCATCGGTTTTGAGATACAGAGCTTTTTGGAATTGTAGTTGAAACAGGTGGACTTTCACCCATGCGCCCATTGGGTGGAAAAGTTGTTTTCCCTTACCATTTGGAACATTATTTAGGTCGATGTACACTGCCTGGGCAAAAAAACACTAATATTTTGTTGGAGCGCCTTTACTTTTGATCACAGCACACAATCTTTCTGGCATTGCTTCAATGATCTTATGCAATGTTTTAACTTTTAATTCTGCCCAGAATTACACAATTTTTTGCCAAGCTCTTGTATTGATGAAGAGATTGTCCAACCACCCTGTAGAACCTTCACCAGCACATACCAAACACTTTTAATTGGTTGAGGTCAGGACTCTGTGTTGGCCAATTCATTAATGAAAATGACTCCTCATGCTTGCTGAACCAGTCTTTCACAATTTGAGCCTAATTAATCTTAGAATTGTCATCTTGGAATATGTCTGTGCCATCAGGGGTTAAAGAATACATTGATGAGTTACTGGTCATTCAGTAACCCATCAATAGACTTCTTAATACCCTGATTCCAAATTCAGGAAGTCTGCTGAATTCATTTTATTGCTGCAGAACAGTGCTGAGCTGAGACCTGACCACCTGAAGCACCCGCAGATCATAACACTACCTCCAGAGGACTGTACAGAGGGCACTGGCAGGTTCATAGCTTCATTAGCTTCCTTTCTTACCCTGACTCTAGAATAGGGTAAATGTGGCTACATTAGACCATGTGACCTTTTTCCATTACTCCTCAGTCCAATCTTTATTCTCCCTTAAAAACTGAGGTCAGTTTTTCCCCAATTAGCCTCACTAACAAGTGGCTTTTGCGTGGGCATGCAGTCGTTCAGTCTCAATCCTCCAATTCTCGTTGCATTGTGCCTGTGGAAATGCTCTTAACCATCATAATTAAACATAGCCATGAGTTCTACTGTTTATTTTTAAAGATGAGACCTCACAAAGCATTTTTAGTCATCTCCGATCAGGATCAGTCATAATTTTGCTCCAACCCCTTTCTTCCGCAAAGTTGACAGTTCACTACTGTCCCTCCCGGTTTTAATAAATTGTTGGACAGTTCCAGACCTTATTGCACTGATTTCCTGAATCTCCTTTGCTTTTTTCTTTGCTTGATGCTGACCAATAATTTGCCCCTCTTGAGACACCGAAACATCTTTTCAACAATCATGAGACACATCTCCTGACATGGTTTTTTAGGAAATGAGAAGTGACTCCGTCAGGATTAACAGAATTATTGTCAGCTGAGTATTTGCTTATTTGAATCCAAACAGCGACTTTTTTTTGGACGGGCAGTGAATAATAATGTACCTGTGGATCGACTTGAAATCAGTCATCAATAGCTCAAATCCTAGTGTTCGTTTGGAACACGTTTTGTGAAAAATCTTTCGAAGATGAGTAAGTCATTATCTGTAGCACAGCACTGATTAGCAAGGAGTAATGAGAAACAGACAATACTTGTTCTACAATCCTATACAAAATGTCCTCATTTCTTTTTTTTCCCACAATTCAGATAAAATGTAAACAAACATTGCAAGCAGGGCTTGAACTTACGTAGGGAAACCCCACTGAATTTCCAGTCCAATGCCTTAACCACTCGGTCATCATAACTCTGAAATTCCCCATTCGTGATTTAGAACAAACTAACAAAATAACACATCATAAACCAGCAACCTACTTTCCTCAATGCATGCTAAATGCAATGCATTCAAAAACAATGACACGAAAAAGCGAAAAGTTCACTGTCGGGTGGAATTCAAATTGCTTTCAAAGAAAATGGAAATTGTTCCAAATAAACCACCGTCCTATTCACAATAACAGTACCATTGGAACGATGAAGCTGGTTTTGTCATCAACTCCAAAACATGCTCCTATACCATATTTCATCTGCTGCTACATGGAAACTCATACGCCCATCTTAGCATAGAGCCTAGCAGCAAGCAAGGTTCGAACCTGTGTGGAGCGACCCCATTGGATTTTAAGTCTAACACCTTAATCACTCAGCCATTGCAGCAGCGAAAATTGATTATAATACATCTCCATTGAATATATTTTCATTTAACCAGGGAAGTCCCATTGAGATTGAAATCTCTTTTTCAAGGGAGCCCTGGGGGTTGAGGTGGCGAGGGAGAGGACAAGTTGCATCACCAATTAGATCAGGGAACGAATAAGTGGCAGGTCGAAAGAGCCAGGTTGGGAATTTAGCCGTGACACCAGGTAACCTCCTACTCTTGTTGAAGAGTGTCATCGGATCTTTAATGACTACACAGAGAGTCAGGACCTCATGTTAAAGTCTCATCCGAAACACGGCATCTCCTTCAGTATAGTGTCCCCATCACTGCACTGGGGCATTGGGGATTATTCCACCAGAGGGAAGATTGCAACCTACTGGCCCACCAACACCTCTTCCAGCAGCAACTTATTTTCAAAAGGTGGTCTCCCATCCAAGTACTAATCAAGCCTATACCTGCTTAACTTCAGCCACACAGCTGGTGCAGATCAAATAGTGGTACAGCTGTGTGGACATGAACAAATCTGTATTGCAAAATATGACCGGTGCTAATGCTCCCACTCCATTGTAGGTAGTTTTGAGCATCCTCATTGGTTCATGGTTTTGTGGTGACTGGATAGCGTAGATTTTAATGCCCTATCAAATATTGTTGTTTACATAAATTACTGATTCTGTAGAATTTGATTGCTGAACTGCAACTCTTTATTTTTTGTATTGATATGAGTGAAAAAGCAAAGTCTTGACATTGGCATCCTGGAATATGCCTGAGCCATAAGGGATTAATAAATCCATTGATGGGATAACCAGGTGTTTCAGTACATTCAGGTAGTCTGCTGACTTCATTTTATTGCTGTATATAATTGCAGAGCCGAAACCTGACGGACTAAGGCAACTCCAGTCATAACTCCAGAGGCTTGTACAGTTAGCACTATGTATGACAGATGCAACTCTCCATTGGCTTCCTTTCTTACCCTGACACACCCATCGCTCTGGAATACGCTAAATCTGGACTCAACAGACCACATGACCTTGTTGCTTTGCTCCACAGTCCAATCTTTATGCTCCCTAGAAAATTGAAATAGTTATCTTCCCCAATAAGCCTCACTAACAAGTGGCTTTTTTGTGGCCACGTAGGTGAGTAGTCCTAATCCTCCAAATTCATGTGCATTTTGAGTGTGGAAATGCTCTTGTTTTCATAATTAAACACAGCCATGAATTCAACTGCCAATTTTTTACAATGAGACTAAACCAAGTTAATGATCTTCAATCACAAGCATTCATTATTTTTTCCGACCCATTTTTTTCTGCAAAGTTGACAGTTCACCACTGTCTATCCAGGTTTTCATTATAGGTACACAGTACCTAGGTATAGGTATACAGTTTTAACATTATTCCAGTGATTTCAGCAATCCCCCCAAGTCATTTTCTTTGCTTGACACAGGCCAATAATTTGCGGCTCATGAAACACAACAACATCTTTTCAACAACCATGGTATATGTTTTCCAACATAGTTAAGCAGTGAGAAGCTAGTTGCATCAGCACGGTTTAAAAGAATTGTTGCTGGCTGAAACATATAATGACTCAACCATAGGCTCAGAAGAGTTTGCTTATTTAAATCCATACAGCTACTTTTTTTTTGGCCAGTGAGGCTGGTGGATGAAATATGATGCTCAGCTATAACCAATTTTGAGGGATGACAAACAATTTCAGATAGTTTGATGGCTTGCCTTCACTATGAAATAGGTTTTGATCACAGCCTATTTCCATCTGAATTAAAAAAAGTGTTCTTGTCAAGTAGCCCAAAGCTGTTCCAACCACTCTATTGAGTATAGCCAAGACAAGGCACCTGGGATCATAAACTTTGGCTCTCAAATCCTAATCCAGCCCTAGGTTTATTTTTTCTCAGGTAAGTGACAAATTAAGTGAATAATTACTGCCTCTGATTGGCCAGACTGTCTTTACACCTGACTCCCAGGCAAAGGGAGGGTGGAAAACCAGCATTTCTCGGCCATCAAGGACCGTGAGTGGATGATCCCTGGCCCAGACTGACACGAACTTCATGACGAAACACATTTAAAGATAGGAAAATAACTAGACATAGGTCAACTTATCTAGCAAGCCTGTCTAATTACAATTATGTTGTATCACAAATCGCACCAAAAATAGAAATGAATCCACAACGATTGTCGCACCAAAAATTTCTTGCTGTGTGCATCACACCATCGCCTGCGATATAAATTTCCTGTCGTTCCACTCATCGCATCGCGGGCAGTGTTTGGCTGGCTTTACGTATGAATACAAACATACCAGAATTTTAATCACCACTGCATCAATTTTAATCAACACTGCAGCAAAGACGTATTGAATGGTCTGTGATTACAATTAACTACACAGACAGCCATATTATTGGTTCGACATCCACAGGAAAAATTCTTCAAAAGGTATCAATGCCACAAAAACGGTTGAGAGGTCACGTTCACTTACTCAAATTAGCCGAGCCGAGGTGCCACCTAGCAGGCAACTAGCGGCTAGCCACCTGTGCCGACATGCACCTGTCACTCAAAGTGGCCACGCCTTTAATTATGTATAACTTTATGGGGACCTATAGCTAAGCAAAATGCCAATTTTGGTTCAAAATTTTAGTTTTGAGGTAAGAACATGAAGGTGGTCCTTCAAATAGTCCGTAATGTGAAGTCGTGTTCCGAAGGAAACATTCGTCACTAACACTGTCTTCAAGGCTGGAACAGCTATGAGTGTGGTGACTTTCAAAAGCCCCTTTCAGACAAGAACACCAGTAAATGTCTGGACAATCAGGTCCGGACATTAACCGGACATGCCCTTTCACACATCACACCCACCCGCGTATTGTCCGTGCAGACTGCGTTCTCACTTAGGAGGAAATGTACCGTGTGATTCAGGTTAGGGGCGGTGCCAGGGCGAAGTGCCCAGGAGGCAGGACATGAGGCATAAAGCTTGCGGCGGATATCACAGTGTTTACATGGACACAGTAAAGATGGCGGACGAGGTTAGCAGCTCCGCTGTTAAGACAGATTTTCTTGGGTTTATCTCCATACTCCGTATATCCCAACGAATCCGAGATATCGATGAAAAAGCAGAGAGGGATATACAGGCAAGCAGAAAAGCATATCACATAGCTAGATGTCGTGCTCTAAAAATCCAAAGGAGAAACAAAGCTGCAGCGTGGTTGTATTATGTCCAGCAGCAGCCTGAGAAGTCTGCATGGAAGCTGGAGAGACCAAGCGGCGACATATTCTGGGCAGATTTTGGGAAACCTGTGGAATCGTCATTTTCGCATGTCCCGGTGTTGTCTCTCCAGTTCGCCATTGCTGTTTGTTTGTTTCTTCTCGCCGCTCGCTGTTAAATGACCCTTCTTCCTTCTTCTTCAGCAGCGGAAGTTTGTATTTCGCTCCTGTCGCATGATATACGTCATCACTGTGCTTATCCGGGTAATTACCTGCTGCGTTCACACATGAGCTGTAAACGGCCATGTTCCGGACTTGATACTAAGGTCAGTCGAGGAAATTGTCTGTTTAATATCCCGGCCGTGTAACACGCCTATTTGTGTTCATACATGCTGCCCTACGGGGCAATGTTCGCGCAATGTCTGGTATTCAGTGCATGTCTGAAAGGGGCTAATGATGGCCAACGAGGAATTGTCTCCATTCTTTTGAAACTTGGCATAAAGGCAGGGGCACATTCAATGAAAGGCTATCACAAAATGGACAGAAAACGTGTGAAATAGAGTGAAAAACCCGCATTAGAACTTGAAAAAAGAAACTAATAGACGCTCGACAAGCACGTAAAACTAGGGAAGAAACACAGATTGAAGAAGTTACGTATGAGGCTGGTGCCTTTTAAGGAGGTAAAAAAATTCTAAAAACCACTAAAAACAAAATACTAAATGTATTCCTCCTGAGAACATTACTGTCAAACTTCGATCACATTATTACTGCCGAACTAAAATCACATTTTTCTAAAAATACAGATTTTCAACAGGAAAATACAGATTTCTCAGCAACTGTACATCCAATTAACTTCATATTTGGCGGTTTTCTTCATTTTGTGATGATCTATGTCTATACAGAGCTCTTTTTGCAATATGTACCTCTGAATATGAGTAAATCAAAATATGCATATTTAATTAGCTGTTTCCTGCCAAAATTGGTTTGGGGGGGCAAAATCAATACTAGAACATAGAAACCTGGGAAAAAAAGCTCTGTAGTGACATTAGGAATGTTTTTTCTTCACATTATAGCTGAAATTATAACCAAACACTGTTTAGTTATCTCAGTCACTGTGTTTCTCTAAGTATCTATATATTCATTAAAACAGCTGTTGCCATGGCAACCACTGATGTGATGCTACAGAAACTCAGTGTTTTAAGTTGCAATTTCTATTAGAATGATTTTGATAATAATTCTTAGTTTAAAAAGTGAATATCTTGGAAAAATATTTGCTTAACTATAAGTCCCCTTAAGCCTCAATAAAGTTTACATGGGTGAGTTACATAAAATTTCATCCCCTGCACCATTGTCATGAACTCAGCAATGGATAGAAAAAACTTTTTTTTGTACAAGGCTGTAAATTTGTGCAGTAAAGTTCTGCATTTTAACAAGGAGGATTAAGGAGATCGACTCACTTCAGTAGCCAACCTCAAGTCACTATTCGAGGAACTGCACTTTGGCACTTTTGCGTTGGCTTCATTTTTTAGCCCCTCAGCTTGAGTGTGATAGTCTCGGTAATGCAGTGGCGGAGCAAGTGGGGGGGCAAAGACACGTCCCTTATTGACAACAATGAGTCCTGGCTAGTTCTCAATCATTTTCCTTCATTGACGCGTTTTCCAATTATCGTAATTGGCCACTGAAGACACGGTTTCTCTCCATATGCGATCTAACAGCGATTAAATCGTGGGTTAAATTCAATACAGTGGAGGAACCAGAACAGAGAATTGGGTTGCAAAAAACATCCATTTCAAACAATT